TTAAATCGGAAAGATTGAATATCAGATCATTAAAGAGTTACACAGAAGCGTTAAGAGTCAAACTTCGATGTTACCTCAAAACGCATGCCAATGAAAAAATAAAATGTTTACAATAAGAGTCTTTCAACAGTTACATCAAAATAGACAACATCCTTCCTGAATCAGCTGAAATAAAACCAACTCTTAAAGCACTATTGGCGGGTCAACAAAAGTCCAATTATGTTCATCTATCATCACTTCAATGTCAATGGATGTTAGTTAAAGCGATTAAAGATCATATTCCAGAAATCCACATAAGTCAATGGTCGAAGTTCACAGAAGGCCTACCAGAGGTTTTATTCAAAATTTTCAGGAAGGCTCTTATTTAACAACTTCCAACAAACACCAACCTCTGTCGTTTTGGCAAGGTGCCAAATGCTCTGTGTCCACTATGTCAGGCTCGTTAAATTAATAAGCATGTGTTGTCAAAATGCTTTTCCATTTCGTCCCTGAAACAATATACAACACGTAACAACAATAAACAATCGATAATTTTAGAAAAAGTCTATCAAAGTATTTTCAAAATGTTAATAACAACTTGATAGACGAATTGAAAAGCTCAAATATTATAATAAATTCATTTGAAATTTTCCCGCTAGGTCTGACCCTTTTTATATATGCTTAATTATTATTATTATCAAGAACAAAAATGGGCAAAACATAATGTCCCTAGGCCCACATCAATAAACATAAATTGTATAATGTCATTTTTACGTAAATCAAATAAAATATAACATAATAATAAATAAAAATAATAGATAAGAATAAAAACATAAATAATGATAAAAAAAAGTTTAAAGTTAAATTATTAATTAACAATCTATAAACCAATGTTAGCTTTCCAATCAAATTTAAAACCAACATTCATCAAGGCACCATCCAACATCCTCATTCAAACCGTTCCAAATGTTTAATATTCTGATGTACCAATAGTATTTTTTCAAATTGCTACTAAATGGCAAAGTGTTGATTCTCAGACTATGACCTCTTGTACGATGATCTACTCTTGGTATATCAGGGAATCCTCTTCTATCTTTTGCATGCATTGCATGGTATAGCTTGATCAAATCACCACGTACTCTTCTGTATTTTAATGTTGGCAGTTTTAGGTACCTCAAACGATCTGCATATTTCATTTGAGAACATTCCCTCACCCTTTTGGTTGCCCTTCTCTGAACTCGCTCTATTGCTTCAATCTCACGAGGGTCCATGAAGACCACACTGCTGCTGCATATTCCATCTGTGACCTGACTAGTTATTTATACAACAATCAATCAATCAATCAATCAATCAATTAGCTTATAAAGCGCTATTTCCGCGATGTTCAACAGCGCTCCTCAATGAATTTTGAAAACAGATGGGTCTTGAGATCCGCTCTGAACTTCGCAAGCGATGGAGAAATAGTTAGAGAAGTAGGCAGAGAGTTCCAGAGAAAAGGACCAGAAAAAGCAAAAGCAGATTTGGCAAAAGAGTGTTTAACACGAGTTAAGAAAAAGCGAGAAGAAGAAGACGATCGTAAACCGGGGCGTTTAGGTTCAATTAATATATCTGATAAGTACTTAGGAAATAATTTAGATTGAGACTTATACACGAACGTGCAAATTTTAAAAATTATTCTATATTTTATAGGTAGCCAGTGCAAGAGAACAAGATATGGAGATATATGAGAAAAGAAAGGGGCACGAGCAACTAGACGAGCAGCAGAGTTAAAAGCTTTACTTAAAGGATAGAGTATAGAGTCAGGAAGACCATAGTAGAGCGAGTTACAATAATCAATCCTAGATAAGACTAACGAAGTAACAAGAAGGAGAAGAGTAGGATCATCAAGAAAAGGCAAAAGTTTTTTTATTCTACGTAGATGAAAGTAAGAGCTTCTAGCAACACTATTAATCTGAGAAGAGAGAGACATAGTAGAATCAAAGATAAAACCTAGACTACGAAACTTATGAGAGACATCAAGAGTTTTAGAATCAGGTAAGATAATAGGAGGAATAGTAATTGAGTGTTTAGATTTATAAAACAAATA